TCAAGTCTCCAAAACACCAAAGAGCTAATATAAATCAATGAAATAATTTTTCTAAAAGAAGGAAGGAAACAATGGAGGAAAAAAAACAAAGCAGGAGGATCTGAACATATAATCCCATTCACTCACATAGACACACACATATGCACATAAATAAAACAATATATATATATATATTTTGCCTTTTTGAGACAGGGTCTCCCTGTAGCCCTTGCTGGCCTGGAACTCCTTATGTAGGCCAGGCTGGCCTTGAACTCACAAAGATCCCCCTGCCTCTGCCTCCCAAGTGTTGGGATTAAAGGCGTGAGCCACCATACCCGGCTTATTTATTATTTTTATTTTATGTGTATGAGTGTTTCTGGCTATCACACTGGCAGAGATGAAAAAGACTCATATGACCAATGTTGATGAGAGTTTAGGGAAACAAGCATGCTCCCATATTATTGGTATGTATAAACAATTACTGTGTGTTTCGGGGGGAGTGGTCTTTGGCCTTGTTAAATCTATAAATGTTCAGCACCTCCTTCGACAGTTTCAGACTTCTTTATGGAGTAAAGGATGTTGCCCCAAGGCTTTTGCCCTGAGAGACCTAGAAGTCATTCCAGGCGCCTGGATGGCTGCTCTGGGTTCTCTGCCCTTTGGCTTCCAGGTGGGTTCGGCAGATCAAAGAAAGGCCGAGGTTCCAGTCTGGTCCCCTGCACAAGAAGGCAAAATGTGTGAATGATTGCAGCATCCAAAGAGGAAGCAACCCAACAGTAGGGAATGTGCTGTGGCCCAGCCATGCAAGCAAGACACTAGGCAGTCAATGAAAGGAACGAGGAAGAACCCCCCCTGCCATGAAAAGGGTTCACAATAGAGTATAAAGGGAGAAAGGAGGGTTTGAAAATGGCCTGAGAGTCTTAGGTTCCTTCCAGTGTGGGAAAAATGTTCTGGTCTGTAACACTGTTACTCTGGTGACCGCAGTTACCGATCACAGCAAAGCTGTTTTTGTTTTGTAGAACAAGTGACTTTTCTAGCAATTGAGCTTCATCCGAGCATGCTATTCTGAGATGTTCTGGAAGCAATATACGTGCCAGAGGGCCGTATCTGCTATAGTGAGAAGCTTTGTAGAGGCTTTAATGGAGAACAGCAGAAAATCCCTCACAAGAAGGGTGGGTGATAAGACCAACTTGCATGTGTCACTATGGTGATAAAAGTAAAACTTGTGAGCTGGGCGTGGTGGCACACACCTTTAATCCCATCATTTGGGAGGCAAAGGCAGGAGGATCTCTGTGAGTTCAAAGAACGCCTGGTCTACATAGCGAGTTCCAGGTCAGCTGGGGCTACAGGGAGACCCTGTCTCAAAAAGACAAAAAAAAAAAAAAAAAAAAAAAAAAAAAAAAAAAAAGGTAAAACTTGTGGACAGCACTACAACAAAAGTTCTGTGACAGCAGGGATTTTGCTTAGTCTATAGCACCCACAGTAGTGCTTGGTGCACAGTAGCTGCTTAGAATATGGAATTTGTTAATGAATTGATGAACTGAATTGGCCCCCAACAGATGACAGAATACACACTCATTTTAGAGTAACTGGAGGAGGTCAAGTTACAGAGAGGCCCATAATTGGGTGAGACTCTAGAAGAGTTTTAAGGAACAGTGTAAAAACCTGGGCTGAGGCACAGCCCTGAGGCGTCAGGGCTGAGAACCCTGCCAGAGGGGACCAGACTGGAACCTAGGCCTCTCTTTGATCTGCCGAACCCACCTGGAAGCCAAAGGGCAGTGAACCCAGAGCAGCCATCCAGGCGCCTGGAGTGACTTCTAGGTCTCTCATGGCAAGAGCCTTGGGACAGCATCCTTTACTCCATAAAGAATTCTGTGAAACTGTCAACAGCACCCCAGTCTAAGGCCCAGGAGACAGTTCAGTTGGGTATGTGGCCAAGGTTCTCAGCCAGACATTGTTACCCACTATTTGACACACTGGTGGAGATTTAAATACAGGGCAGGCCACAGTGACAGTTCAGATGCAAGCATGGCCTACTGCTTAAGAGTCTTGTCTCTTTTTTTTTGTGTGTGTGTGTGTGTGTGTGTGTGTGTGGTCTTTTTGAAACAGGGTCTCCCTGTAGTCCCAGCTGGCCTGGAACTCACTATGTAGACCAGGCTGGCTTGAAATCACAGAGATCCATTGGCCTCTGCCGAGTGCCAGGACTAAAGGTGTGTACCACTGCACCCAGCCTAGAGCCTTGTTTTTGAAGCCCCCATACAGGCTGGTTGAGGGGGCCAAATTGTTTTCAGGTCTTCAGTTTCCTCATCTAAAGCAATGGAATAATACCCAACTTCCCATAATTTTCATGAAGATTCAAGGAGACAGGGATTTCAGAATGTTGGCTCCCCAATAGATGAACAGATGAGAATTGGTGTGAAGAGGAGACCTCAACACACAACAAGAGTTGAGAGTCTAGACACATGCCTAACTGGAGTTTCCCAGTGGTGGGGAAGTATAGTTGCTCTTAAAATAATTTTTAAAAAATTTTATTATGGGGCTGGAGAGATGGCTCAGAGGTTAAGGACACTGACTGTTCTTACAGAAGACCCGGGTTCAAATCCCAGCACCCACATGGCAGCTAACAACTGTCTGTAACTCC